GATTTCTGTCTTCTGGGTTGTTGCGCTTTGTAGTCTGGTCGATGTTTACCAACGTTTCGGAGGTCATATTGCCTCCGTCATCAGGGCGATGAGTATGAAGATTTCTGTCTTCTGGGTTGTTGCGCTGTGTAGTCTGGTCGATGTCCACCAACGTTTCAGAGGTCATGCTGCTTCCATCTTCAGGCCTGTTTAGGACTGTTACTTTTCTTCGTATAATAAAATGGAGTGAATCTCGAATCTAATTTAGTTGTAAGTGTCATACCAACTTCGAGGCCCATATTCCTGGATTTGAGCAGGCGCTGAAGCTTTTGTTAAAAGGTGTATTATCTTGCCTTGATATTGATACTGAGATTGATTGTTCCATTAAGCCTGCAACGTGCTGACATTCACATAATACCGCATTTTTCTCTATAAAATATGGGCAGTAACTGAAGTTGTGACCTCGAGTTAAAACCAGTAAAAAAGAAGAAAAACCTTTCATACGTTATGAAGTATTTCATTTACTTGTCGTTAGAGGTTGCCACCTTCTACTAATGCAGGATTTATTTACGAAATTGTATCTGTAATTTTATAACTCGTGCTTTGTGCAATATTTTTCGCTTTTGCTAGAAAGAAACCCACAGACTTATCAACATGAAGTTGACGTGTCATTTCATAAATACTGCGTCATGAAGTGTGACCAAAACAATTTGACATCGAAGTGGGAGAAAATGCTGTATAGGGTTTAGAAATAGTTACTGATCGATGCCGAGTCTGCAGAAATCAAAGCGGAATATTCCACATCTGCGTTAAAAATGTCTGCAGTTAATGCCAAATTGGACAGGTCATAAGCTGGATCATCCGTTCGCCTTCTCAATTTTGTAACGTGGCGTGACTTGGCTGATGCAGTAGATTAGTAATTTCATGTCCATTCAAACCTTTAAAGTGTTTTTATTTGTTTAGAATAGTTCCAAGAGAATACAGCATTAGCCATTTAATCTTTGTAGAATGAAATGCTGTGTTGTCTTTAAGGTACGGACTGAATTCTTAAAATTATAAATTAAAGTCTCGCTGTGTTATTTTACTCAGCTGCTCTCTAAAGCCACTGACGAATGTTTTTAACCACATAAGCATCATTACCTCATAAATATTCCAGGACAGGTTTTCGGACCACGCCGCTCGTCCTACTTGGCATATTTTATATGAATTTGTGAATTTAAATCTGCTCAATACGAAACTAGAATATTGTTTTCTAAGCACAGAGTGTTTCATAAATGTAGAAAATATCGATTTTTTCCTTTACTTTGTAGTTTCTTCTACATTAAGCTATACATTGATATACTATTTAGTATATTTCCATCTACCTCACTCACTCCTCATTAGAGGATGTAAATAATCTGGTAATTTTTTCATAGGAGTGGTAAGGAACATATGCGTCTGTATTTAAGAATGTCATAATGAATTCGTGTCTGTGTGATAATTTTGACGTGAGGAATAAAGTAAAAGTAAATATTTTGTACAAATGCTTAATTTATTTCCATGTCAAATGCTGATGTAACATTAAATAGACGACAGTGACAATGCCCTCCAGACAATTCCATTCTTAGTGATGGTATCCATATGAAGCATAAGCCAATGGAGCAGCGTGTATGGCGGGACCTGCAACGGCTATGGGTCCCTTGACGAGGGCGGGGGCGGCATAAGAGACGGGGGCAGCATAAGCGACGGGGGCAGCATAAGCGACGGGGGCGGCTACAGTCTTGACGACGGGGGTGGCAATGTCGACCCTGTGGATGTTAGCGTATGAAGTGGCAACTGGTGCTACAGCTTTTACGGCAACGGGGGCGGCGATGGCCACGGGGGCGGCAGCGTAGGTGGCCACAGCAGGGGCACCCAGGTAGCCGGCTGATGCGGCGGCGAAGAAGAGAGGTAGAAGGATCTGAAAGAAATAATGAAGTTAAGGCTCCGAAGGATTGTACATGCGTAGATCTTACTGCGAGCAGATTTGTACGTGTGCATGTTAAATTATTGGTAATTCCTAGACTATCGTCTATCAGACCAAGAAACATGTGACACATTCATACTTTTTCGTTTATGCACTTTTAAAATATACATTATCTATTGTTTCAAGACTGTACATTATTTTTGTTCTCCACGCCATGATAATGTTATTGACGAATGGGACTAAAAAATTTTTGTAGACTAATCACATTACGGATTGACGTTTCTTTGTTTCTTGAAACAACGTGAGATTTAAGAGAATAAGTCTTCATATGTAGCCGAGTCTGAGTATTTAATTTGCACCGAAGGTCCAAAGCCTCACATGGTCGTAATGACTATAACGTTACCTGTCAGTAATAACGTCAATGTCTCAAATAATGCTCAAAAACACCAACCAACGTATATATTTCAATATGTAACGTAAACTATACGTTGCATTATTTGCTCAGTATGTAATACAAATTCAAGGCCCTCTGAATCTATGATGTTCTGTCAACAATTAGTTTTAAATACACAATTGAATCAGCAAAGAAGAGAAAACGTATTTTTACGCATTTCTATTAAACTTATGGGAAGTATATGTGACAGACTGCATTTCGTTTCTTTGTTTTGTCACGAATAAGAAGATAAATAATAGTCAATGAATAAATCTTATGTGGAAGATATGGGGTTATATTTTTACGTCGTCTGGGTGATTTTAAAAATCATGACCAACCAGCAGTCCTCACCCCTATAAATATCATATAATTATATCTTATAAATATATTGTAACGTATGTAACTCAAATAAATTTAATTACAATAATTGAAGAATTAATTGTTTCAGTTTAGAATACTTGAAAAGTTATCGAGTATTGTTTTGTAGTTTATCTGATAACGGGTTGTATATATATATATATATATATATAAGCGTCATGGACAGTGATTACATTTGAAGTTATATTTGTACAACTGACGTAAATAGAACATGCTTGGAAATGGACAATTTAACTGTCATTATTACCTGACCGTAATTATTAGTCTCATCATACAGATTATAACATTTAAATCAGAAACAGACGTTTGGTTCTACTCAAGACCTCTATTTAGCCTATGGAATATTCGGTGA